ATCATGAATTGTAGCGGATAATTCCAATAAATCAAGAGTTTGTAAAAAATCCAGATAATTAAAAACAGGTGCGGTAACTTGAGAAGGAATTATTTGCTTTTTAATCAGAGAATTCTTATTTTGGTAGATTATAACAGACATATAAGTTTCGATCAAATTTTTTGCTTGAGATTGTCTTTTTTCATTTGAACACTTGCAAGGAGAATTTTTGCAAGAATATAAAAGCCGAAAAGGATGACACCAGAGAAAACGAACGGCAATTTGACACCAAAGACGATTTACTAATAAACAAGAGTGTAAAGAGGATTTATTATATTTAAATTCCTCGAATATTAATAAAAGACAATCAGTAGGAAGAAATGGCGAAGACATTTTTTAATATAACCAAGGTATTAATCGAAACAGAATGCTTTTAAAAAATTGTAATAAGAGATTTTAATAAGAGATTTTAATAGGAGATTTAAAAATAATAAATAAATAAATTTTAATAGGAAATCTTGTAGAAATTTATCAAAAGGTTTACAAGAAAAATGAGATTTACATAATTTATATAAGGACCGAAAATCATGATAGTTGATTGTTCTCTATTATGCATAACAATAGTCGAATAATTTGCACAGGAATAAAAACGTTTGTTTTCTTTTTTTTTTTTTTTTTGCCCTTCCTTCCAAGTACGGAGAAATTCGGCTAAATAAAGTTACTTTAATCATTTCCGATTTATATCACGAATTATTTTCGTAGGAGATCATGACTATAACAAGAGTTTGAAACGAGAATTTTGATGACACCATTTCATATTCGGCCAAACTCGAACAAAATTGGGTTTCCGGTTATGGTACACAAGATCATTTTTAGGGAGAATTGAAGGCAAATGATGGAGGCTGGTTTGTTTTTTTTTTTTTTAGCATTACCGTTACTTGTAGGGAAATATTGAACAAATGCATGATTTATTCGGCGCATACGAAGATGAATAAGGATTTGTAGAGGAATATCAGGTATACACTTTTATTTATCATATATATACTATAATAATAGCAGCGTATGAAGGTCAGGTGATGCACAATTAATACACAATTAATACATGAGAAACATGAGAAACATGAGAATAAAGAGATTTCATTATTAAAAAACAATCAAAAGGTAAATAAGTGGTTAAATCATATTATCTACTAAGAATAATGCATTTTAAAAAGAAATCCTGTGTAAACTTGATATTATTTGTTAGTCACAGCATATGTGAAAAATTAAACAATCTTTATCGTTATTCCGAAGCTTTCAAAAACATCATTTGTTTGTTTTTTTAAGATGTGATAATTATTAAATAAGTTTTGTACAACTTAAACGTGTAACTTCATGAAAGCTCATTTGGATGTTTAGGGAGAACAGAACGAATGGTGAATTGAGAATGGATAATCTTTCATGTGTAGTTAAATATAAAATCGTGGTACTAGAATAGATTCGTTCTCTAATTGGAAGTTCGAAAAAAAAATTAGAGATAAACTCATCAGCTGATGCCATTTATTTCAATGCAAATCTTTGAATTAAATGAATTGATTTTTAGAAAATTTTAAATAAACGTTCGATATATGTTAGTATTTAATACTTGTTCGTATATATATATATATATACTATATATACATTGAGAGGGTGTGAACTATACATGCGCGCGAATTTATTATTTATCACAGATACCCATATCGATATGAATTGAATTGAATTGAATTGAATTGAATTGAATTAAATGCTGTTACGTACGCATTTATGTATAATATACTGCGGTATATCATTATTCATGCTCAAGTCTAAATTATCAATGAATAATTAAAGAAGGAAGACAATAATAATTGTAATAATAATACGTAAACGGCTTACATTATCAGTTAACCCATTGATTGATTTATCAGGGGTGGGAAGCTACATTTTATTAATTAGATAAGTTCTAGCGTCTTTTCAACAATTTGACTTTAATAGTTTTGCGGAAAAATATAAAAGAAGTCTTTATTGTATATTAAAGATTTTTTTATTATGCAGTAACTGCATGGAATGTGACAAAGATGTAGTATTCGCATTTTATAAGAAAATTAAATTGCATCTATACGTATATATCAATATATATATATATTATAATATTTTCAAACCTTAGCGTTAGTGTCTGCCAATTTTAACTATCATGAACTACCAAGTTGTGACTTTTCGCATCTTTGTAGAAAATCTGTTGTTCCAAATCGAACATTATCCCATCTCGATCTACAATCTCAACAACTCTTAAGTTCAATAAATGAAACAATAAACAATCATGAATTTGTAATAATTCCAAATTGATCTTCATGTTGAGTGTCTTGTACACTTCTAATATTCTTTAGATTCTTTAGATTCTTTATATTATAATCCTTATTTTCTCATATTCAAATGATTCAATGGTATTAGTCACACTAAAATTATCATCACATCACAACTTACCGCAATTTCATTTTTATTATTTAGAATCGGTATCCCAACAACATTCTCAAAAAATCTAAGAATGCCATCATCTTTCCCACAATATCACAGTGAAATTTATAAATCTTTAACTATAACATCTCGGATCTTCCAAGATCGGCCGAAATATTGAATTAATTGATAAAGATCAGGCATTGAGTAGTTTAGAATTTGTGTGCACATATTTTTGATAGATTCTAATCAAATGAAATGTTATTTTTAATGAAGGGTTTCCCGGAAGTGTTGGTAGGTTTTCGAAATTCTTTTCACGCCAGGAATCGTTGATGTCTTGTGAATTTTTTGATCATGTTCCCGAAAATATGTCAACTGATGTTGATTTGTTAAAAAATGTCATATCGCTTTAATATGATTTTTATGAGAATTCGACTTTCATTTTTAAAAGAATATTATATCATCAACTGGACAAAGGCAACGAACGCCTCTGATAATCACTGATAATACAATAAGATAATAAAATTTTTACATGTGATATATTATTGTCTTCGATCGTCTCGTTTTCTTAAACTAATCTCTTCAAATATGAAAGGAAATGCAAACGTTAAAATATGAATGGACAACTATTTCAGACATACATCAAAGGAGCCAAAGCAGAATGAATAAAATTTTTACTAGTATTATGTGGCGTATCACTCATGATCGTGAAAGAAAAAGGCAACAGAAACTGTCGAATAACGTAATGTACATTTGACCGGCAAAAAAGCGAAGGTGACAGAAAAGGAAGAGATTAGTTTAAGAAAACGAGACGATCGAAGACAATAATATATCACATGTAAAAATTTTATTATCTTATTGTATTATCAGTGATTATCAGAGGCGTTCGTTGCCTTTGTCCAGTTGATGATATAATATTCTTTTAAAAATGAAAGTCGAATTCTCATAAAAATCATATTAAAGCGATATGACATTTTTTAACAAATCAACATCAGTTGACATATTTTCGGGAACATGATCAAAAAATTCACAAGACATCAACGATTCCTGGCGTGAAAAGAATTTCGAAAACCTACCAACACTTCCGGGAAACCCTTCATTAAAAATAACATTTCATTTGATTAGAATCTATCAAAAATATGTGCACACAAATTCTAAACTACTCAATGCCTGATCTTTATCAATTAATTCAATATTTCGGCCGATCTTGGAAGATCCGAGATGTTATAGTTAAAGATTTATAAATTTCACTGTGATATTGTGGGAAAGATGATGGCATTCTTAGATTTTTTGAGAATGTTGTTGGGATACCGATTCTAAATAATAAAAATGAAATTGCGGTAAGTTGTGATGTGATGATAATTTTAGTGTGACTAATACCATTGAATCATTTGAATATGAGAAAATAAGGATTATAATATAAAGAATCTAAAGAATCTAAAGAATATTAGAAGTGTACAAGACACTCAACATGAAGATCAATTTGGAATTATTACAAATTCATGATTGTTTATTGTTTCATTTATTGAACTTAAGAGTTGTTGAGATTGTAGATCGAGATGGGATAATGTTCGATTTGGAACAACAGATTTTCTACAAAGATGCGAAAAGTCACAACTTGGTAGTTCATGATAGTTAAAATTGGCAGACACTAACGCTAAGGTTTGAAAATATTATAATATATATATATATTGATATATACGTATAGATGCAATTTAATTTTCTTATAAAATGCGAATACTACATCTTTGTCACATTCCATGCAGTTACTGCATAATAAAAAAATCTTTAATATACAATAAAGACTTCTTTTATATTTTTCCGCAAAACTATTAAAGTCAAATTGTTGAAAAGACGCTAGAACTTATCTAATTAATAAAATGTAGCTTCCCACCCCTGATAAATCAATCAATGGGTTAACTGATAATGTAAGCCGTTTACGTATTATTATTACAATTATTATTGTCTTCCTTCTTTAATTATTCATTGATAATTTAGACTTGAGCATGAATAATGATATACCGCAGTATATTATACATAAATGCGTACGTAACAGCATTTAATTCAATTCAATTCAATTCAATTCAATTCAATTCATATCGATATGGGTATCTGTGATAAATAATAAATTCGCGCGCATGTATAGTTCACACCCTCTCAATGTATATATAGTATATATATATATATATACGAACAAGTATTAAATACTAACATATATCGAACGTTTATTTAAAATTTTCTAAAAATCAATTCATTTAATTCAAAGATTTGCATTGAAATAAATGGCATCAGCTGATGAGTTTATCTCTAATTTTTTTTTCGAACTTCCAATTAGAGAACGAATCTATTCTAGTACCACGATTTTATATTTAACTACACATGAAAGATTATCCATTCTCAATTCACCATTCGTTCTGTTCTCCCTAAACATCCAAATGAGCTTTCATGAAGTTACACGTTTAAGTTGTACAAAACTTATTTAATAATTATCACATCTTAAAAAAACAAACAAATGATGTTTTTGAAAGCTTCGGAATAACGATAAAGATTGTTTAATTTTTCACATATGCTGTGACTAACAAATAATATCAAGTTTACACAGGATTTCTTTTTAAAATGCATTATTCTTAGTAGATAATATGATTTAACCACTTATTTACCTTTTGATTGTTTTTTAATAATGAAATCTCTTTATTCTCATGTTTCTCATGTTTCTCATGTATTAATTGTGTATTAATTGTGCATCACCTGACCTTCATACGCTGCTATTATTATAGTATATATATGATAAATAAAAGTGTATACCTGATATTCCTCTACAAATCCTTATTCATCTTCGTATGCGCCGAATAAATCATGCATTTGTTCAATATTTCCCTACAAGTAACGGTAATGCTAAAAAAAAAAAAAACAAACCAGCCTCCATCATTTGCCTTCAATTC